TAGAAGACTATTTAAAGAATTAGACTATATAGAAATAAAAAGTTTAATTATAAGTAGCATGTTTAAAGTACTTTTATATAATTTATTAATCTATAAGAGACAGATCTTTAACCTTTAACTTATACATAAAGTTAAAGAGAAATTAATAAAACTATATAAAACATTATAACTTATGTTTATAAAACATTTAGATAAAAAGAAGAAGAAGATCTTTATATAGTTTCTTATAATTTAGAAAATAAGTTAGAGGTTAATTCTAGCTATTAGCCTATTACTAATAGCTTTGTACAACATGCACTGTAAACTATGTAATATTACCTAGGCATATATATAATTAATAGACAAGCTTGTTTACACTCTTTTTACATAACTACTAAGAGAACTCTGTAAAAGCTTCCCTTTACACATAATATTTAAAGTTGTATAACTACTATACAGCGCAGTAGAGTTAGGCTTATATTAGTTTAAGACATACTACAACTATTATAAAGATAGACTTTTTATAAAAACTTTATTATATAATCTGTGCTTATTAATTACACATAAAGGCTTAATAGTGTTTAGTATTACAGAACTGTAGATAAATAATACTTTTAGTATTATTACAGCTAATTTTATATAAAGAAAAGAAAAAGAATTACTTAAAGCTAACTTTTAAGTAAAGCCTAAGACTATACTATTACATAATTAGGCTATTAAATTTAATAAAGAAAAAATCTGCCTTATATAAAATAATATTATTTTTATATAAAAGGGTTAAGCTAGGAATCTACACATAATAGAGTCTAAGGTAGAGGATGCTGCGCAGAAGTACGTCAAACAGCGCGCGCGAGGTGCCTATATTGCATTAGTATGTTAACCTAAGGCAGCATTTAACCTGTCTACTGCCGCTTAAGTTGTGTTGCTGTTGTACAACAATATTAAGGCATTAAATGTATAAATCTAATAGTAAATTAACAACTAAAATAAAGGATTATTATACATACTACTTAATCTCTTCTATATAAAGTTGTTTATTTTTACTAATAAATTATTTATAAATAATAAGAACTTAAGTTTATAGCTTAGCTTTTTTATTATTCTTAAAACTAAGTAGTAAACTAGGAACTTATACAACTTTAAAATTATAGGTAATATTATACACTAGAACTTCTCTAAGTGTAAACGCGTTACCTGCTCTATTCTAGCTAGTAAGCTGTACAGAATAGTAGGAGGATTTAACTGCGCAATCGCACTAAGTACAACTATTAACTAGATTACATGTATGCTTAGAATACCTCCTGTACCTATTGTACTATGCATAGATTTAAGATCTCTGTATAAATGTCTTATAATGCTTAAAATAATAAATAAAAAAAAACTTATAATTAATATTATATTAATTTAAAAATTATATAAAAAGAGGGAGATTATAAAAATTAAGTAAATTAATAGAAGAGACAACTCTACAGATGCCTATATAAAAAAGGCGCTAAACTCTACTTTTAAAGAACTAATTTTATATAACTAACTAACTATTAAAGTTAAAGCGTTAGTTAATAGACTTAAGCCTGTATAAAATAGGCAAAAAGGGCCCTACAGCAACCTATCTACTGTATGTGTAAACAAGGTAAGTCCTGTATAAAGGAAAAACAAAAAGTTACTAATGTCTAAATAGTAATATTTAGGCGCCTAGTTAATAGTCACGTGGCTTAGATGCGCCTAGATCCCTGTGCACAGAGATCTGTGCGCAGAGTTTAGGACTATATTAACCTCTTTCCTTTGTATAATAGAAACAATAAGAAGTAATTAACACTAGTTACCTAACACCCCTGTGCGATGTTTACACCGTGCAAACCTCTCTGTCTCGTACGCATTTGCTGACACTAAGTGCTAGCTAGCAGAGAGTCTATTCAACAAAAGTCTTTTTAAAAAGCTTTAAAGCTTATAACATAGTAGCTTTTTTATAAAGTAAGCGCTTCTTAGAAGGCTTCTTAGCTTACTTTAATAGCTTAGAGTTATGTAAGTACTAAGCTTATTAGATTAGATTTAGAGGCTATTATTAGCTAAAGTTTTAACATAATGTAATGTTATAATTATGCATAAGTAAGGTTATAAAGCTTTACAAAGGTCTAGTTTAATTACTACGTAAAGTATTATAGTAAGTATAAGACGTTGTATAAAAAATAAGAAGGTTTAAAAAAAAATTAGTAATTAAATACTTAGCTTAGAAGTCTAAGCGCTTTAAGTATAAATTAAGCCTATTTTAGGTTTAGTTAGTGTTAAGGCAGTTTGTGCTTAAGTTTATGTCTATGTTGTATTGTGTTTGTGTTAGACGTGCACTAATAATACTCTAGTACGCGTCTAATACGGTTATGTCTAGGATCTGGGGAGGATACCGTGACATAAACACGCAGTACTCTAGGATAATGCGACTCTATTAGTAGAACAGGGGTGCGCAAATTTTTAAGCGCTAACTATCTACACTATGCTGCGAACTAGGCTTATAACTGTTGCGTTTGCTAAAAGGTTAACCTCCCAGCTAGCACAGCAGAAGGATATATATAGACGGATAGCTGTACGCGACAAAAGCTAATAATAAACTTAAAGTACTAAGATAGTTTTTATTACTATCTTAGCATATAAAAAATTCTCTTATTAGCCTACTATTCTAAGACTAATAGGCAGACTAAAAGATAAAACTAAACTCTAGAATAGTACCTTAGATGCTACTATTGCCTAGAATAAGATAATTAGGTAATCTAGTTACTAATAGTGATGTTTATGTATAATAATAGCATATATGTAACTACAGAAGTTACTTCTTTCTAAGTATACTACAGAGCAAACCAAAGAGGGCTAGATTAGCCTAGAGAACCCCTAGGTTAGGGGGAATTGCACATAGTAAACAAAGTTGCTGCAAAAGCACTTGCTCTATAGTTAAAATGCTGCTAGAAGATTATTACTATAAATATATATTAAAAAAATTATGTAAACAAATAATAAAAGCATATATAGCTATAAGTAGAAGACAAGGTATTAGTCTCTAATAAATACATAAAATTAATAAAGCTAAAAAAAAAAGTTAGATTAGAAGTTCTTAAAACTAAAAAAAGTTATAGGCTAGATTAGTGTAAAAGTGTATAAAGTAGACCTACTTATTCTAGAAAAAGTTTATCTAGTATTTTATATCTTACTTTTAAAGCTATATACCTAGAAAGAGGGTCTTAAGTTGTAATTAAAACTAATTATAAACACTCTACACACTATAAAGAATAATGTATACTATATAAAAAAAATACTTAACTTAAGACAGAATTTAGTTAAAGTATAAAAATATTTTATAAAAGAAAAAAGTTATTTATTTAAAAAAAACTTATAAAAACTTAAACCTAACATTAGCTTAAAAATCTTAAAAGTGTTCTAAAAAAGTAACTTAATAAATTAAGTATAGCTACTTTTACTTTATTTTTTTCTTACTTAAAGTTTTTTTAATAAGAAGTGTTTAATAGCGCTATAAGAATAAAAAGATAGTTAACATATCTAATTTAAACCTAAGATTCTTTATTTAGACTAAGTAAGGCTATTTTAGCACAGAATAGCTTGCTAAAGTTAAAAAGAGGGTTATTTCAGCCTAAAGAAATTTATTATATAGATAAAATAAACATTCTAGCCTAAAATAGCCTATACTAGTAAAAAAAAGGCAAAGTTTAAGTTTAAGAAGATATTCTAAAATTATTAAGATAAATAAGCTATAAAGTAAGTAAGCTAAAAATAGATTAATTTATTACTACTAAAATAGTTACACTTTAAGTCTAAAAGATATAATCTACGAGTATTTATCTTTATTAAAGAAAAAAAAAGAAGTTTAAGCTAAAGAACTTAAAACTACACTACACTATGCATTTTTAACTATTTTTACTATAGAATGCGCTAGATTACACTAGATTATGCTATTAGAGTTACAAATTAGACATTAAGACCCTCTATAAGTAAATTTATAATAGTAAAATAACTACTAAGATATTTAATGTAAGGCTAGATGTCCTAGAACAGGCTAGTATAGCCTCACCCGACCTGTTTGGAGGTCACATGACCTGTGCTTTGTATATAAGCATGAATCCTAACAAGCGAGGCTTGGCAGCGATTCGTCTCTCTTACAATACACTCCTATCTTTCTCCGAAACCTTGCTCTCAGTGCTATCCATGCTACCTACTATCCTATCCTTACAGAATCCTTGAAGAGACTCGGGGGTTCGTGGGAGGATATATATATATATATGTACTAGGATGCGTGTAAGGAGGTAGGCGCCCCGCCTGCCAAGCCGATACTATACGACTTTCCCCACTGTACTAAAAGGTACGCACGAGAATACTTAAGCCGAGTATTCTCGCATAGTATAATATATATATAGGTAATGCTAGGGTAAGCACTAGCACTGGCGGTTGTCTCTAGCCTAGCCTAAACCTCTATGAGCGAGAGAAGGCCACGTGGTTGACCGTGCCGACCTCGTTACAATACGTGACAGGACGTCATGTGCCCAAGGCCGGGCCGAGGGCTCTCCGGGGAGAACCCGAGGCATGTCCAAGTTGACCGTGACAGTCAGTAAGTACCTAGCTGATTCAGAGAACTTCCCCAACCTGGAACAACAGCATCATATTAGACAAATTGATAACCATTTTAACTCATATCCCTCTTTAGTTAGTAGTGTTAAGAAATAGATATTAATTTAATTTAATGAAGCAATACAAAACGTTATGGCCCTTGCTTCTACATTTTAACGTGGTTAAAGTCTCACATGAGCTAAGAAGGGTTCATAGGGTAGGCGAGTCGACAAGGTATTGAGATCCAAACAAGGTGAATTGAGCCAGTGTATTATAAGGTCTAAGGAGCGAGAGAGAGTTCTGGGCTGACTGTATGCTGTACGAGAAAGGAGCTGTCCTAATGAGTGAATAGTGCAGTACATGGGTATGGTATCGCGTGAAAGACGTGCGACATAAAGTCCCTGCTATGATTGATGCTAGATCTGGAATGACTTCAGAACGGACACCACCTCCCAGTGGAAACTCCTCAAAAGATTAAGGTTATAGTCAGGCTCTGTGCCATTAAAGTGTGCCAATCCATCAAACCTCCCCTCTATGCACTTCAACGCCGCCTGCATATAGCGAGTACCCATCGACGGACCAAGCTGCGGTGCGACAACCCGAACCAACTCTTTGCGGAACTCAGGGCCATCAGACCCAGTCCTGTACCGCTTCTCCAACCGCACCCAAGTCCCGATCTCTAGCAGGATGGTGCCGAAGCTGTAGATGTCGTGGAGATGATGGGAGTTGGCCGCCACCCTCCTCTCCCCTCCCATCACGTCTGGGTGGCAATACAGGGTCTCCGGGAATTGAGCCATGCCCATGCTGGTTACGTTGACGTTATTTACCATCCGGGACCGTGCAAAGCCGGAGAGATACGGGTCTCGCAGGGAAAACTGCTCGCGTTGAGGGCCGTTTCCATTACTGAAGAAGAGAATGTTGAGGGAGTTGATTGTCTTGTGCAGCCAGCCAGCGGCCAGGAATGAGAAGAGCGATTCTGCCAGCAATGAGGCGAGGGCAAAGCGGTCTTCCAAGACAGGAACGTGCTGACCCTTGAGCAGTTGATGGAGCGTTGTAAGCGTAGTAGCCGCGCCTGCGGGATTGGAAGGGCAATGGTAAACGACTCCAAACCTCGCGGCTGTAGGGTCTTCATAGTATCCGATGCAATTCAGATGCCTGAATTGCGGGCGGCGAGTTGAATCTTGAAGCATGCGGACTTGCCCTTCAATCTTCAGTTGCAAGTCTACCTTGGAGACTCTCTGCACCGCCATCTCATTGTATGTGCACCACTCGACGACGACCCGGAGGGGCTGCACGCCCAGACTCGTTTGTGCGGTGAACGTTGCCCATGCCCTGCCTGGGGTATGATCGGGAGCGTTTGTAATTTGGAGCGTATTGTGGTGGATGTACAAGTCGTACGAAGGTGTGAAAGATGTCCAAGCAGAATTGAGTTGTCCTACGCCCGAAGCATCGGCCCTTCTCGCGCTGGCCATGACGGACGCAAAGCTCTGAATCTCCCTGATTGTGTCGTTGTCACTATGCTGCGAAGATTCTTGAAGCGCTCGGACCCCAGCGCTTCCGTGATCGATGATCGTGGTCGCTAGCACCTCGGCCTCGACGTTACGGCTGAGATCTTGTTGGCGATCTGGCGGGCAGAACTCGTACAAAGCGTCCATAAAACTAGTCAGTTGCGTAACCAAAGTCTCAAACTTGGATCGGTCGTGGATGATCCATTGGAACTTTCGAAAGGCGCTACAGCTCCGATCCACCTTATACACCATAGTCGCCTGCCTAGAAATCTCCCTGCGGGCGATTGTCTCGTCCTGTTCGATTTCGGGTTTGATGGGAATCGGGCTACTGAGCCCATATTTCCCGCCCACCTCGCCGACTTGCTCCAGCAGTTCCTTGATGCGGATCAAGGTCTGAATCAGGGTTTCGTACACTGGGGGCGAGAGTTTCTCCAGGTTGGGCCCGGATTTGTAAATGTCAAAGTTTTGACCCCAGACGAGGAAGCGAGTTCGCTGCACTTTCAGCAGCAAACTGAGAGTTGTGAAAGAGCTTCCAGTCTCCCTGACTTTTAGCGATTGAGTTTTACGTAACTGTTAGGTCGAATATTGAAGACTAACCGTCTTTGAGTGTAGAGAATGCGAGGACACAGCTTGTATACAGCTGAACTGGGATGCCAATCGCTGTGCATGGTCAGTACTGGTGATACACCACCTGGAGCCTCGTCGGAGACGAACCGCCTATTAACAGTCCGGCAACGGCGAAGGGATCCATATCTCCTCAGTAGTCGATCTTGTATTTTTGAAGTCTTTCTGAATTTCGCGCTTCTCGGCTCTGCAAACTTCGCAAGGTCAGACACGAACCTCACGAGGGAAGCTTTGTAAGAAAACAACGATAAACCAGCGCCAAGGTTTGTATTGCATGAGTGCGCATTGCTTCACCGAAGCAGAAGCACATTTGTCGTTTGCATATTGTGGCGTCTTCGCATCTGTCGGATTCGCCCAACCTCGCACTTTTGAGCCTGAAGAGGGCAAAATAGTACGCTAATGCAACTTCAGTGTCTTTGATCACACCCGAAAAGGGTCTTGGGGACCTTTTCAAAACGAGCGTTTTGAAAATGAATATTACACCGGCAACAGCCATAGCTGTCGTTAAATTGAGATTCCGCTCTAACCCAGCCTGACTGAAATGATCGGATCATGCATCGCTTCTGGGCAGAGAGACCAACTCCAGCCACACCTTTTCTCCCACCCCGGTCCCGCTCTGCCTGCCGCTACGATGCTTCCAGGAGTGTATATATCGAGTGAAAGTCTTAGCCCAAGCAGATACTATTCTCGACCTGGTGAAGGATCAAGCAGGGCATACGCACCCGAAAATCGCTCAGATTTGTCTCCATTTATCTACCTACTTGCCTTGATCCTCCACGATGAATACAGCAGCGACAAGCAGAAAAAGTACTACCACACCCCCGGCGCTCTGCTGGACACGACATTCACGGGTCAGAGGCCGATAATTGGCGAGGGCCACCATTTCACCGTCTTCGGCAGCCCCTTCGAGAAATGGGAAAACCTGTCCGCGCACGTCAAACGGTACAACCCAGAAGCCTACTGCATCAAATTCCCGAACCCCGGATTCCGCAATGACGACGGATTTCTCAATGAGGTAAACGAAACTGTGCTGCGCGAGATCAAGGTACTCTGCCATCCAAAGCTGGAAATCCACGAGAATATCATTGGCTTTCTGGGCCTGGACTTCCATGAAGATTACGACGACCACAATGTGGGTTGGCCATGCCCGCTAATGGAGGTCGCGGAATTTGGAACATTGGACTCCTTCCAATACGATCAAGGGCGGTTGAATGAGCCACTCACCACCAATCTGCTGCTCGATATTGCATCCGGACTTGATGCTCTCCACAAATGCAATATCATCCACGGCGACGTGAAGTCTGAAAACGTTCTTATCTGCCGGCACAAGCATAGAAAATACGTCGCTAAACTGTCAGATTTTGGACTGTCCATCATCAACCCAGATCCAGAGGCTCTGCACAAGCTCATCGGCGGCACCTGGCTTTGGGAAGCCCCGGAAATTGAAACTCGAATGTCTGTTCAAGGACTCAAGCAAACCGATTTGTTCTCCTTAGGCCTCCTCATCTGGCGAGTCCTGACCAACAAATTCATGCCCTACGAGACTCTTGGACAAGACATTGTCAACCGATACTGGTCTCCAGATCAAAAAAGTTTCATACTCTCAGTGAAACAGGACTCAGAGTTCTGTGGCATTGTCCTTCACTCCCTGCGATACTCCGGGATTGATGAATGGGCCAAATCTTTTGGAATCGCCATTCTACCCCACTCTCTCGGCCACGATCCAAAGTCAAGATGCTTACAAAAGATACTAGGGGAAATGCAAAATCCTAGACGTGGTATTCCTCAAAGGTGAGCCGCGGGTCCCTGCTCTTGAAATAATCCTTACGCCTATCTCGTGCTAACTGGGAGTCAGAGGTCTCCTCCCACCAGAGATTAAAGATTTTCCGGCAGATGTATATTGGGCTTCTTATGACCCAGAGAATATTCTTGAACAAGTATTACTCGGATTATCAATACATTGTGCAGTATTCTAACCTCGAACAGATGATTGATGCATATCCCGAATGCATCGTCTACTTCAAGGTCCGTCCATTCGTGCTCTACCAGCTCATAGCGGATCTTGATCCCACTACAAGGTCGAGTTCAAAATCAGCTCGCCTTGCGACCTTGTTCAGCTTCACTTTAGTCGCCTCCGGCGAAGTTTTTGGTGAAAAACACGACGAAGCGCTGACCCGGAAGCTCATGCTGCGTCTGTCCGAATTGGAATACTTCTCATTCGCTGCCATTCTTCCCTTCTATTACGAAATTACTGCCACCGCTGTGCCAACGGTTTTCAATCCCAAAATCCTTGAAGCTGCTGCCAAAGAGGACTTCTACATGGCCAAGTGGGCTCTTGCGAGGTACTATCCAGATCAATACCGCACCTGGTTGAGCCAGACAATCCGCGAAACTGAGATTGCGTTCCAAGGACGTCCCGATTTCAATCAACATATGCTCCTTGGTCATTTACGCCAGGGAAACTTCGAGGAGTGTAAACGATTGTTGAATACGGGTGTCCAGCCGCCAAATAAACCAGATGAACTAGGACCTGTTCACTGGCTGACATCCTTTGGAAAACAGCCACAAATCGACGAACTTCTTCATCTACTCCTACAGGCCGGGTGTATAATCGATGGCTGGGTGGATACGGGCCGAGATTTCGACATGCTGGCCGGCCGAATCGACGGCACGCCCCTTCATTGCGCCGTTATCACCCGCAACCTGCATCTGGTGCGCTCTCTATGCAGACTCGATATACGACCAAACGCTGCAAATATCGATGCGGCGTTCAAAATTGCCGCCTCTTTGCATTTTGCCGACGTCTTGCATATCCTGAACGAGTGGGTGAATGGCCTCAATCATACAGGGGGGTCCCGTCATCAACTGGACCAGTGGAGTTTAATCGTTTTCGCTGTTCTTCCGCATGCGCCGCACCTCCGGGTAGCCCGGCTATTGCGACATGGCAAGCGTGGAGCAACCGATGCCATGCTGGCTACCTTGGACTTCCTTTTGAATCTGGGGACACTACCCTTCGAAAAGCAGAAGAATTTGGTACAGTTCTTGATCTTACACGGCTGCGGTAAAGGCTTGCCGCTATTGACTGCGAAGTTCAAAATGCGGGAAAACCCCGGCCGGTGGACTGAGTATCTGAAAGGCATACTGCCACAGGTGATCATATTCGGGGACATCGATGCCTTCTCCGCCGTCTTGGACAGTGGCTTGATTCCTAAGGACGTATGTTTCATAAATGACAAGTGGACCCTGATGCAGACATGTTGCATATCCGCTTCACGAAGAGTGGAATTCATCCAGAAAGCGCTACAACTAGGATGCTCATTGGATGCTCTGGGACCGGGCGACGAATACCAACCAAGTGCGTTCGCAGCGGCGGTCACCAAAGGCTCCTACGACATGGCCTCTTTCATGCTACAGAATGGAGCCGACAAAGACTTTACCAGTGGCTGGCTGGGAGGCCAAACCTGTATAGCCAGACTGCTGCAACAACCCGACCTGCCAATCTCACGGCTTCGTTACATGCTCGAAGCGTTGCCTGAGGAAGGCTTTGGACATGTGGATTACATCGTCGGTCCTGCTCAAAAACAAAACATCTTCCACGCCATCGCTTCATCTCCGTGGGCAGGCCATCGCTCGTCTTACCGACAAGCGGAGATCATGAAGTACCTGCTCAGCGTCATTGGCGACCGTAGATGCATCAATCAGACAGACATATTCGGATATACTCCTCTCTACTTTGCCGCTTCTAAAGGGCAGCTTGAGCTCTGCGAAATACTAATAGAAGCCGGCGCAGACGTTCAGGCAAGTGTTTGCAGGTCACCGCTGAATGGGTTGATAGAGTGGCGGGAAACGTGCGCTCGCCGGGCGAAAGACTCGTGGTCGACGACCAAGGTTGGAGAGAAGAAGCTTGCAGCGAGACTGCTCGACAACGCCCAGAGAACGTTCGAACTCCTCACAAGCAAGGGAGCGACTGATTGGAAAGCAAATCCACTTCAGGTTCAAAGAGCGATAGCCAGTGGACAAGTTGCATTCCCAAACTTAGCTGTGCGTAGGATTCTCTTTATTTTGTGTCTTTTGCTGACTTAGTTCGTCATTAGACTACCGCGGAACTTTTCTCAGCCTTCTTTACACACCACGGCCAGGACGAGTATTCAAACGCAGGAAACCGCACATTTCTTCCTACACGGTCAAGAGACTTTGTTGTGCATAGAGGAGACCGAAACTCGATTCAAAATCTGTTCACAAATTTCGCCCGACGCCTAGAGAGCATGACGGGAACTGGCAATGCGGGTCCCTTACGGGACACTCGACCGCAACAGCTGCAACTACACGCACCGCATTCATGCTGGCCGTGGGTGCCCTGCCACTTCCACGGTCAGCCCGCTGCTTCCGGAGTTATAGTCACCTCTGTGCGCAGCAGCTTGAATAGTCGCAACTTAGCTGGCAGAGAGCGTTTGGTCTCGTCCTCCCCATCAACAAGTGCATCGTATAATCATGACCCCCACATCATTCCTGTTGTTGCAACCCATCAACGAGAAATGAGAGTTTCCAGCCTTGGAACCTCGCTGTCTTCTTTGAGTCTTGGAACGCCAACATCGCCCAGCAGTCTGAGCTACCCACACTCCTCCTCCTCGAGGCCGCAACCTACCGTTCATCCAACTTTGCCCTCTCATAGGGGCGTGAATACTGTCAAGATGCAGCTGAACTATCATCTTCAGCAGTTAGTCAAAGGTCCACAAGGGGTTGTTGACCGGACAGCGTTGAAGGTGGTATTGGAGGAAGTATTCCAGTCGCCGATCTTATTGAATGAGTCCTGCCCAAGTATTCAGGAATGCATCGAGTTTGCCGAGATTAGTTCCATCATTGAAAGTTGGGTCGGTGAGCTACGCCTGTTCAATCTATCTCTGGTGACTATTCTACAGGCGGGAGATTTACAAATCTTTGTGTCTGAATAAGCTAGTGGGAATCGAAAGATTGTTTATGTTGAGACTTGATTCTCGTTCAAGTAGGTAGACTGATTCTATGTATATACAGCTGCAATGCAATTCATCGCCCTGATGTCCGAATCCACCAACTCAGAAGCTTGCGGCACAGTTGAGAGAAAGTCCTTGAAATTCCGCTGCCTATTGAAAGCCAATGCTCCAACAAGTCTTTCCGCAGCGGCAATGCCTATTGCCGACATGAATGTGAGTCGAGACAGGGCGTCCGTGATCGCTTGTGTGTTCCTGCAATCCGCGCGAAGATTCGACAGGATGCCAACAACAACCGGCCTAGGTATGTCGCTGTTACTGTTTGCCAGCTTCATCGCCCGCAGCAGCTGCCCGATCACCGTGATATCTTCTTGTTGGAGTAGGATGTGCCGGATCTGAGGCCCGTTGGTGGCCTCCTGTACGAGTTCTAGCTCACGCGAGAACTCCGTGGAGAGCCGCCCCGACCAGTGTAGGGAGGAGCGTTGGAGCAGGGGAGTCGACAGCCGCTGCTGTTGCCCTGCCCCATCTAGGAAGAGTTTTCGCAGGCCGTCCTGCCACTGGAACCATTGCTTCACTGTCAGTGAGTTGCACATCCTTTGGGCCAAATCCGCACCTTGGCTGTGGATGAGGGCCTCGAGAAGCTCGATCCAGCGGCCTTTAACCGAGCTTAGAACCTCATTTCTTTGCCCATGGCCGCTGGATGCCGGAGCGAGAGCCCGGGTGATGCGGAAGCAAGCTCTCTCGATGTTCTCCATCTCGCATACGGCTTCCATCAACATCTCGGAGACAGAGGGTAAGCTCGTCAGACAAGAGTGCCTGATATCGACGGGGATGTGAGTTGCCTGGGCCAGGACAAGGGCCGCCTTGCGATGATGGGGGTTCCTGGAACGGGTCCAAATCTGAAGCATTCCGCTAATGAACGCTCTTTCTTCCTTGCTACATTCATCTTGGTCTGTAAGCTGCCCTCGACAGTAGGCTTTCAGCATTACGACGAGCCCGGTCGTCGGTCTGTCGGACCCTTGCCATAACGTATCATGCAGGCTCAGTGCCGCTTGCAGGATGTCGACTGGGACGAGACGATGGAGGAGGTCTCTTGCGTCGGGTTGGAGCCTAGGAACCAACCATGCCGCGTCTTTCAGCCGGTATAGGCGGTTCGCAAAGTGCATGCCGACACTCTCGAGGGGCATGCCTTTCTCAGCGTAATCTTGAAATTCCATCTGCCCCAGCTCGAGATATGTCGGAATTGCTTCCAAGATGCTCGGGGTCATCAGCTCACGAAGTTGGTCGCCTCCTTCGTCGACTTTGCTCAGAGCCGAGATTAGTTGCAGAGGCCCGCCTGCTGAGCTGCCGTTTGTATTGTCTATGAACGGCAGTACCGATGCGATGATTGAAGAGTCCTTCGTGACAAGCGCAGCGTCGACTGTTTGAACCTGCTCGGTAGTCGTAGTATTATCGAGAAATGTCTTTGTAAATGCCGAAAGGCTACTTGAATCCTGCTCAATGACGGCATCCAGAACAACAAGTATGCGCTCTAAAGTCGTTGAAGGATCTTCGCGCTCAGGGACCATAATAATGGTAGACCCGCAGTGAATCACTGAGCTCGAGTCTAACCGGGAGAGCACGCCTGCCATTCGTGTGCTGTCAGTGCCGGTTGGATCATCTGGACCCTCCAGGCGTAGAACATCGGTAAGAGCTTTTCTCTTTTGACTGTCCAAGGTGGCCCAGCGTTGGATACGGGACTCATTCGGTCTCCAGGCCGCCCATGTGCGCCAATCTTGACATACTTCATCAAGCATGCGCGTGAGTCTTGAAGTCGGATTCAACCGAGAGAGCCAAATACATGCGGTGTAAGCCTTCTGGAGCCGGCAATCTCGCAACAAATCCCTCACGACCAGCGAAAACTGTTGGCATGCTCTGTATTGGATCTGGGTTGCCATCGACATGTCAAGGACTGAGAAAACTGGTGCACTAGTAGAGAGTAGATTTGAATACGACTTGAGTGTACCACAAATATCCTCTAGGCCGGCCGTTGAGAGGGCGAGCAGCGCATCTGCCCATTGAACTTCCGCGCGAGCAATCATCGCAAAGTTGCCCTGGGCTGCTTCCACAACCAGTCGAAGGGCAGTTGCAGTTCCATCCCGAGATCTAGCGTTCGCTCGGAGTTCTCTCTGCAGATTCGCCATTACAACTTCCCGGCTGGCCTTATGCATAGTAGCCATGATGGCAATGTGTTTTTGCGAATGCGCTTGGATTAATTCTTCTATGAGCGCATCCAACTCGTCTGGCGTCACATCTCGCCTTGACGTCAGAAGGTTGTCGGTTAGCCTCCTGAGGGTTTCAACGTCGTAATCAGCCCTCGACGTCGAATCGGCGACCGTGCGGATAGTATCTCTGGTCCATCTTTTGATGGTCTCATTATGATCGACTTCCTTATCCCCCCTCCCACTTCCCAGGAACGTAGACGTCGGCTTCTTTAATCGGAGCGGATTCTGGATGGTAAAAGTCTTGGTAAATTTCATGATTGGGCTTTATGTCGATCATCAACAGGCATGGCAGCTATTGAGAGGTCTGATCGGTCATTCATCTCCTTCCGCCGCGTGTTGTTGCGTGTGTTGGAGTTGACAGCAGTTGGGCGGTTGGGCCAGGGCTTGGCTGTATTACGTGGAAGGATTTGTGACGGTATTACTAGTTCCAAAAAGATAATCGTGTAAATTTCAAAAAAGCAGAGCCGCAACTAAACAATCGGCGATGGCTCTGCCGGAACAGCTCGTTCATGAGAGGGCCCTGTAAGAAAAACGCCTTGACCTGGACGAGGAAGTTTTGTACCAGCCATCCAGGCTCCAGCAACCGTACCAGTCCCGATGGGGCGACAAAGAACGGGTGGGACAATAGGAATGGCTTGGTTAATGGAGAGCGACGTGGGAATCGCGCAGACTGGAGGGCGGCCCGGGCGTGCCGCACGTGGCAGTTGTATGGCGTCAAATTTTATGGTCTGGAACTACGAACTCTCGATCGGTCCAGCAATGTCGCCGTCGCGAGGAAGTTCCCAGGCCAGAACGCCACAGGGGATGAGTTTGCAAGCTCAAAAGGGTGGGCGCAAAATCGCGGTTCCCCAAATAAGGCAAACTCTGTGCCCGCATGTGAAATGCGTCCCGTATCAGTGGCCTATGACACAATGGGGCGATATTGAGGCTGACGCCGCGCTGGATGTATTCCTTGGCATTCCTTCACTCGGGAGATGGGGCTGAATGATGTCTAAAGAAGCAAAACCATGTGTCTTGGCTGTATTATTCCATCAGCTTAGCTGGTAACTTTCAATGTCAGTGAAAACAGACGAGAGATTAATTTTTGGGATAGCCTTCCTGAGGACATATGAAGTTACCAGCACAGTTGTCAAGAAAGCTGAGAATCTTGCCGTCACTTGCACAAGCTGATGTGAAATAAGATGATAAGACATTAGCGAATATGCCCATGAGCCCACCATGCTATCTTCCCTTGCTCTTAATGGCGGAGATTCGCTTGCATATCTTCTGCACCAACTCCCATTCATCTGCTGTCCATTGATCCCTCGCCGTCATCCAAGTTCTCGCAATCCCATGAAGCTCCTGAGCAGCTCCAGCCGATCTCGCTTCCATGCCATCGACAATACGTCTATCTTCCCGACGCACGTGCTGTAGGCCGGCGGCTTGACGGTCGAGGGAGTACTTGCCGCGCAAGAGGGTCTTACACCATTCAATATCCTTGTAGGAGATGTGGCCGTTGTTTTTCTCATCGATGAGCTCCGGGTATGAAGGCTGCAGTGTTGTTGGTGGGGCTTCGGGGTAGCACTCACTGAGGTCCTTCCGGAACCTGCGGTCGGTGTAGGTGGAGCTTGCGGCGGAATTGTGAGGCCCTTTGCCCTTAGTTGCGTTCTGGATCAGAAGGAGGCCGTTGGGCAGCATGGCGATGAGGATGACACAGGACATTATGATGTAGATGAACGAGACCAGCGAGATGTTGCCGATGCTGTTTGAGCCTAACGTGTGCACTATTGTCGTATCATTCGACGCGATTGAAGAGTCCGATCCGTTGTAAAGACGTCCGTTGACGATGGTGCCGTTCATTGTCGCGTTGACGAAGGTGACATTCGAAGGTAATGCCTCAAATCCCCAGTCTTTGGCGGAGGAGTTGGCATGTGGGCCTGGTGAAGGCTTTGCCACGAGTGTACTCATTGAAGTCGGCATTGCTGAGGTTTGAGTTGGGCCGTACGCTATGTAGACGCGTAGCTTTAAGGAAAGTGTGGTTTTGAAAAGTAAATTCGTGAAGCAAGAGCGAGATGGAGTTGTTGAGTAACGCGACAATACAGTACTTCACCTGACTGGAGTCCTATAGAGAGGCTTAGCATTTTCGGCACCGATCAAGGCTGAACCTGAACTGGCGGTCTGCCAAGTTTTGCAGTTATTTGACTACTGAACAGCTAATGCTTTGTTCCGACCTATGCGCGGCCATGAATTGAAGGCTTGCTAAAAAGTACGGTTTTGTGGCTGAAATAAATCAAATGCGGCAAATCGTCATCGGACCATGGCGTAAACCTAGCCTGGGTAATTTGTGCATGGGGCTTTTGGGGCTGAATGGTGAACTTCACGTTGGGAAGCACTATATTCAAGGATTGCCTACGTTGAGAGGGTTCGTTGCACAGGAGCATCAAGAATGGAATACATAGAGAGATATAAAGCTCAATCACTTCACGCTATGCTATCCAAAGGCACCGCCACTAACGTCGTACCCTTAAACGATATGTACCATTGTGAATCTTTACCGAGAGAGAGGCCGGCTCTGAGGCGGGCAGTCAGGTACTCTCCTTCATCATCCATTTCCAACTGATCTGAAATAGGTTCTAAATCGTACTGAGCCGACGTGATGTTCCTCTGATCTAGAAAAGGTGGCGAGTCAGTCCCATTCTTCGGATATAGCAGAGAAATGGAATACTCACCTGGCTCAAGTTCCGCTAGGGACGAAGGAGGATTGTCGCTGATTGACGAGACAAACCTATTGATGAAGACCTTTGGGTCATTGGGACCAAACCGTCTGCAGAACTCGATATGGACGTGCTTTTCCTCGTTCGAGAGGAGCAAATCACCCTTCTTGATTAACCATGTTATCTGCTCTCGCACCTTGTGGCCCCGTTCAAATGGGTCGTCGTAGCCGGTTTGATTAGCGTGCAGGTATGGCGAGAACGGCTGCGAGACAACTATCCCGAAGCTCCTGGTGCTCTCACGCATGCGGATGCGCGAGTCGGCCACCTGCTCTTGCACTGTTGCAACGGCCCCTTTGCAAACGGCGATTAACCTGCATATGTCAGAAAATTAACGTATTCATGTAAAGTGAACCCACGGGCGGTCTGGACGACACACTTGCACGCCCCTCTGTCCGCAGAAGACTTGCACTTCCTGGTGAATATAATTTGACTCCGCGAAGCCGCCAGATAGAAAGACGTACTAGAAGGAGAGTTGGAAATGCTAGTCTTTTCATCGGGACGATTACATACCTGCGTCGAATAGCCAGCACGATCGATTTCCGACATCTGACTTGCAATGAGGCTGTTGATATTGCTAAGACTGTATTGAAAGAAACTCCTCATATCCTCACTTAAGATCCGTTAACTAACTATCGGTAGTCGTGATCGGAAAACTACTCACCTGGTGACAAGAATCCTGCCACCCTCAACTCCTTTTCCTGGAAGGGTCAAGTCCACAAAGTCGCGGCCTTTCAATCGAATCACCTGATGTTCCATTCTCAGATTGCCAGTGGCGTCCAAATTCCGCCTCATTTGTTCGAACATATCCAATAACTCGTGAATGGAGTTCTCGGGACATCCTGCATGTGTGGTAGTAGGAGGGAATATTCTCTGATAGTCATCACCTAATTTTCTTTCCAGCCAGGCAAGAAACTCCCTGTCAACAAAGGTGGCTCCGCACTTATATCCTAGAGATGGGTAGTCAGAGATGTAAGGTGATTCGGAGTGTTAGACCATCCTATACCTGATGCCAGTCCAACTTGCCTCAACCGCAATGCGGGTTGTATAGCGTCCACCCGGTAGGATATAACGTCCTTCCTCGCAGTGAGCCTCTCTACACTTCATGCATGCCTTGCAAACTCACAACTGTTCCTCCGCCCAGATCTGCTTGAACAAAGCAGTCACCGACCTGAAACTAAATTTCAGCGGTGGCTCAACCTACAATGCAGATATGTATACTTACCCCGATTACTTCATTGTCGGCTCTTCGGTCTATAATAGACTTGATTGAGTAGAGGGCAGCTGCCTCCGGCTCGGTAACAAAGATGACATCTCTCAACCCGTGGAAGTGTCGCTTGGTGAAGCCGGCTTTGTTGACTGCCCGGAATGTCAAATTCTTGGCAGTGTCGGACCAGATCTTAAGATGTTAGTTTAGGCTTATTCCGACGTGGCACAACGTTGAAAATACCGCTGGGACTGTGATGACGATGTCGGTGACAAGTCTGGGGACGACTGTGTGTCCTATCGCGGCCTTGATCTCACGCACCGCCGCCACCCGCACTTCCCTCAGGTAGTCGGCAATAATATCGATCGGCTCCTTGGTGAGGTGCGTTGGATCTCTCCACTCCCGCCTTACTCTCTCTGGGTCCAGATTCTCCGTCTCTTCTAATGAATCCAAAATTCCCTTAAGATCCGCCAGTCTATCATCCTGCTGATCCAACTGAAGTTTGGTCCAGATCATGGGTCGACTGCCCGCCGTAATCTCACGACCCCATTGTAGCCTGCCTTCCACATTCGCAGAGTAAGAAATCTGACTGGGAACCTTTGCCTCGTGGAGTTTATCTGACCACTTTGTCACAACTGTGCTTTTCGCAAGGTCGGCATCGTCTTGGTCGTAGACTGTGGGTTGGAAGGCGATGCCTATCGCACATACTGCGGTCAACTTCTCGAAATGAGTCTAGGGTGAGATCACACTTTACCTGTGAATGTTGTACCATAGTCAATCGCCACTATAAGACCGTTGTATGGCACGTCCATGTCCGTTTGTAAATACAACTTTCGCGTGCCGAATTCGAAAGGACCAACCGCAAACCCCAGGGTTGGAAACGTTCGCTCGTTAGAGTTGTACAGCGTATGAAAGTCTGACTGCTGGAGGAACCCAGGGTCCTTGTCCAAGGCTGAAATTCGGTTTGCAATTCTAGTCTTTTCGGTTTTCGCCTCTTACTCGCTTCTGTTGTGGAAAATGCCAATTTCGTTGGCGTCTCGCACTAAAAGCGTCTCTGTGACCTCCTCTCCAGACCCAATACGAGGTTCTTTGTTTCATTTGCGAGCCACCAATGGCGGCTTCCTCAGCTCGCCGCATGCGGAATGAAATGCACCTCGCTGCGCCGTCGAGGACCAGTGAAGGAGGCTGAAAGATAGAGTAAATAAAATACAATACAATGGTAGATTAAGTCTTTCCCTTGGCTTCTCGCGGACCCAGCCTGATGACATTCACTGTTCGCTCCATCTGCGCCCAACTGGCTGCTCGAAACCAGACCGACGCTTCTTTCTCCACGACAATAGTAATGACGTAGCTTCAATGCCTACTGGGAACGATAGAACTTGAGAAATCACCGCCATCATGGGCTGCGGAAGTAGTACACCAGCGTCTGCGCCTCAACTCTAACCCAGTCCCCATTCCGCGTGCTAATTTGGAGCCTCCAGGAACCCAAAAATCGAAGTACCCAAGAGCGAATGGGACCGCCTCCAAAATTCCAACGCGCAGCTGAAGAGCCACAAAACTGCCTCCCTCGCTGAGATCGAACGTTTAAAAGGGGATCTCATGCAGATCAATATACTTCTATTGTCCTTTAATGAGCGATACCACGTGAAACCTTCGTCGAGCGGCGGCATCAAGCTGGATGACGTCTTTGAGGCATATTCATCACTTGGCCGGCGCTACGCGGACCTGACAGAGCAGAAAAAGCAGGTAGATAAGGACTTCGAGAGGCAAATCGAAGATTTCAATCGACTGGTTGACACGATCCAACAGAAGGAGCGCGAATTTCAGGATCGCATGAGAAAAATGGAAGAGAAGTCGAGAAGGGAGCTGGACGCGATGGAAAGGGAGGTTCGGGAGCTGGAGAAGAAGCTGATCATGGGCGGGGATTATTTCCAGCCGAAGCCGGACTCGGAACTGAGACAGCAGTTCAGCGACCTTCAAGCAAAAGTGAGAAGTTTCGCGGAGAACAGTGTGCCGGCGGACGAGGCTATCCGGCAAGCATTTGCTGAAGACTTGGGGCGCAAGTTTCAGCACCCAATCCACATCCCACACCTGAAATACTTCTCGGAGGAGGCCCTTTGGGCCGTACTAATAGACAAGGTGTTTTCGACGCCGTTCAAGGTCTTCGGCACACACGGTGACAATATGCTTCACCCCTGGCTCAACTTCTTTGCGGACGGTAAGTTGCAGTATTTGTTTGGTTGCCGTCCCTAGTCGACATCTAGCTCACAATCTACATAGGACAATTTGAGCGAGGGTCTGTAACGACATGGCCTCCACCGAACTCTTTTTCCGAAAGGTGGAGGTCTCTGACCGTTGGTAATCTTGCCGTCGCCGTTCGAGGCCAACGTACTGGCGAAGGCGCGAGCGAAATTCAATTGTCGTATAGGTCCAATCGCAACGATGTAGTCGATGCTCTGCGAAAACTGTATCGCCATAGTTCCACGGCCGACATGGTCGACATGCCAGAGAGTATTACAGACCTTGCCTGCGAAATTGCAATGACATGGGGGGCTGAGCGCTACCGAATCCAGCCAGCGATTCCTCCAAGGGGCACATGGGTCTCAAAGGATGACCTCTCCCTACGCCGTATAGAAGTTCGTAACCCAGGGGATAATGTGGAATGTACCGTTGGTGTGGTGATATCCCCGGGTTTGGAGAAGGGCGGTGTTGGAGACGGGAATGCGCAGTCTTTTGATGGACCACTTCGAACCCTCATCCCACCGCATGTCTATACATTCTCGCAGATTTGATTAACTAATCTCGTTCTTTTTTGAGGAGCATCAAAGGTTATAGAGTTGGCCTCTGCAGGTGCCGCTAAACTCCAGAATCCCTCCCCATGGCAAAATGAACAGTCAGTATTGTATTCTATAATTGGAAAGGTTGCCGTGCATACACAGTATTGCCGGAGCGTGTGATTGGGGCAGTTTTGATTGGATAATTGACGATGTGGTTCGTCGGTAAGGTGGGCGGCCGGTAGTAGGCCACCCGCCCAAATCTATCTAGTCTTCCTGCCTTGCTGCCTGATTGCTACTCCTTGGGGATGACACATATCGCTTCAAGGCAAACTCCGTGCGGCATGGTAAGCGGCCCGACGAGGCTGAATTAGAGAGTTTTTGCGTGTAGTGCACGAATCCATTTAAACCCTACCGACGATCGGACAAGAAAGCTATCAATCGGTATCTGCAGCTGAAGTCTGAAGCTGGGGCCACTGTCGGACAAATCAACTCATCACACCACTCCTCTGTGGGGGAGAGGCCCTGTATTGGATGCCCAGGTTGACATGCTTGTAACGATGGGAGGAGGCTCTGCCGCGACTTGGCAGTTCGCGACGTAGCGATTTCAGGGCCTGTTGGTGTACCCACCTTCTACTGTTTTCTCTACCTCCTCCTCAAACTCGAAGTGTAGAATATTTTGAGCCTCGAACTACTATCCTATCGTATTCTGGCTGCTTGCACCACATACACACTGCGGAGATGATCGGTCTTTGGTCTTTTAATTCTCACTTGCTAGGCGATCAATTTCACGATCATTATGCGGTTGCAAGGATCGCTCTGAACATCATCTTCTTTTGTACCATCGTCTATGCCTCAGCTACCCAGCCGAGCAGCTCTGTACGGGGTGCTCCCTTCAATCAGATTCGATTTGGCACCTTCGCATTGCTCGGGTAAGACTCTCGCTTTGCTGTAGGAACCGAGACTGATCAGATTCACGCAGTTCATATGTTTTGTTGATCATAGGCCTGTTTCTGCATGAGACACGCATCAAAATGCCCTTCGGATTTGTGCTTTACGACTGGTTCACTGAGGTTCTCAGAGTCTCCGCCAATGTGCTCATTCCTGCAGGCGCACACGCTGTCGTGACACGACTGCTTGGGTGGATGGGGCCGTCTGCGAAATGGTGGGCTTTTGTAGGAGATTTCTTTGTCCTGACCGCGAGGATTATGGCATTGTACTATCTAGGCAGCTTGCTCGCGCACCAGGTTCTCTGGCTTCAAGTGGCACAGGTCGACACGGTACAGACGATTATGGTGCGGAAGAACCAGTTTGATGTGGCATTCTCTATTTTACTCTGGATCCTAGCCTTCTTCATTCTCTTCGAGGCGGCTGTGGCACTGTGGGGAGACTGGAGAGGGGAAAAGGATCGTGCAGCAATCCCACGGGTAAGACACTGGCCCTTCAACCCACAGAAATGAGTAGTCTCTGACCGTTAGTAGTACTATTACCATGCCATAGGCGCTTCACTGGCCCTTTGGGTACGAACACTTGCTGAGCTAATCATTGTGGTTCGCTTTCACCTCAAGCAGCATCTGCTGCTCCGCGATACGGCACTCTCCAGGGACACGGTCTTCGGCCTGTTTACCGTCATCTTCCTCTTCCTGATTGTACGCGTCTTTCAGGATTCTTCTAGGCATATTGATTGCGCTCCTCTCTTGACCAAGATGCAAGAGGAAACTCGTCTGCATATTGTCCGACAAGCTCAACATCCGACGAACCCAAACGGTGTTGCGCCTTCGATGGAATCAATCCTGCAGGCGATAGGGCGTAATCCAACCGCCTCTCTCTCCTCCCAAACAAACACCGATCTCAACAATATGCCAGTGAGTGTGAAGCAGGACTATCTGGATGGTTTGGTAGAGTATCTGACGGAGTTGAGAAGAAGGCACGGCGCCTTGAAAGGAGTGAACTTTGCAAGGGAGTTTTGAGCTTGTATTTGTAGATCCAAGTCGGCAGCGAAGAGCAAATCAGTTTAGGGAATATATTTTTATTCGATGCTCTCCTCAGCTATCTAACTGACCTTCGACCGAGCAAGGCGTCATTTAATAGAGCGGTAGAATTACCATTGTATCCGAAGTGGAGACCCTTCGTTCTATTGGCTATCTCGGCCGTTTGCGAGGAGGACGCCGATGAGGCGAGTTTGATCCTGTTTTGCACGACGACGTTGTGGATCGGCGTGCCGTGAGCCTGGAAGGGTTCGAGAAGATGAGGAGGGCAGCCGTACACAGCCTGCCCATCCCCGATCAGGATGACGCGAGTTGCTCTCCTCGGGTAGCTGGTCCAGAACGAAGACATCATCAGTTCAACGCTCGGGATTGCGGTCTCATAGCACTCGGATCCTCCCCCGCGTGAAACGTCTATCAAGCCATCCGCGGCAGCATCTATCGGGGACAGATTCCGGGCCGTCCAAATGCTCGACTCCTGCACAATGACGCCCAGATGGGTCTCTGGGTTTCGTGCGCGGATTCCACTAGTAATAGTCCTGAAGGCATCCTTAGCAATCTCAACCAGCGTTACGCCGAGACTTGTGCTGAGGTCTATGCAAATCACGACGCCATCGGCGGGACGAACCTTCTCCAGAGTGGTTATCTTCATGGTCAAGTCGCTCTTCTCCCGATTTAGATCCGACACCTTCTGATTCAGCTCCAACACGCTTTCAGACAGGGCGATCTTTTCCTGCATCATCTGCGCACTCTTTTGACTCAATGAGCGATTGTCCATGCGCAAACGACTCATGTCGCTGTGCAGTTCGCCTATCTGTTTGGTCAGACTATTGTCCAGCTGCTGGTCGAGTGATCGATCTTGCAGCTTCTCATTCAGCCGGTCAATCTGATCCTCCTTTTTGCGAAGTTCCGTCTGGTACTTACGCTGCAGGGCACCGAGTTGCTCCCGCAGCCGTTGCAGCTCCGCGTCAGACGTGGCTGTCCGCTGGGCGCTCTGTGTCATTTCTGAAATCGCCCCCGTCAATCGCCGGTTCTCCTGCTTCAGCTTTTCCTGCTCGCGGCTGAGATGTTCGATTCGCCTTGTGCCTTGGTCGTGGTCGAGCTCCGCTTGTCGGTGCGTTTCCTCTAATTGTGCAATGTGGTGTCGATGGTCTTGGATTTGGGTGGACATTCGGCTAATCTCCTCTCGGTGCGCATTTGTGTCTGCCAAAGGGTATTAACGTTGTCGATGTGTTTGTGCTTGAACGAAAGAGTTACTTGCCTACTTCCATACGAGCATTCATCTGACCCTGGACAGCGAAAAGCTGCGCCGCAGATTCTTGATGTTGCCTTTCAACTCCGTGAAGCCTCAGCTCTGCCCTCTGCAGTTTTCCCTCGTACTCTTGTTCGCGCTCCAGTCTTTGCGCTTCTTGCTTCTCGAGCTCATCCTGGAGGCCATTGACTTCCTGTTTGCTGAGGAAGAGATCGTGTTCAACGTCATTCAGGGCATCCTCCTTTGCTTTCAAGTTTTCCTTCGCCGTAGCGAGCTCATGCGTGACATTATCCAGTGCTTTTTGACATTCAAGCAGCCTGGATTCTACCTTGTTGAGTCGGGCCTCATGTTCCCGGACCAGCCACTCAATCTCATCAGAGGAACTGGCGACCTCGCGGCAGAGCGCATCTTTCGCTTCCCTCTCACTCCGAAGCTGCGCTTCGAGATCCTCAATTTCCGCCTCCAGGATATCTACTTCAGTAGTGTGCGCTGATGGATATTCAGGCTGCACCTGCTCCATCTGCATGCTTTGGCCCATAGAGTTGTCCAAACTCGCGCCTGGTACGAGCGACGTTTCCTCTGATCGGCCCCATGGTTTCTGGTGTTCTTGGTAGTCGGTGGTGCGGAGTGCTTGATTTGAAGTCCCAGCAAACTCCATTTCCCAACGGTCTTGGAGTTGCAGTTGTTCGTATGGTAGGACTGAGGGTGGGGTGGGAAGCTACGGCGAGTCAGCGGTAGAGGGGAGGCTCAATCTTGGATTGCTGTGTTCAACAGCTAGCCGACATTAAACTCCTTGACAGCAAAGAGAAGTGGCTTCTGCTCCAAAACTCAGGTTCGGCGGTCCCCCGCTTAGATCGCCGTCTCTCGCGCCTCTGTACCGTACCGGGTACATTCAATACTGTACGAATATACGTGGTTAGTCGAGAAAAACGCCACCCACTGTTGAATAGAGCTCTCCCCTTCCAAGTCCCCCACCCCCCGATAAAAGGCTTGAGATGTGGGAAACGCCTTGTATGGATAGGCCGGACCAGCCCCCGCCACGGGAGGCATTTCGTCTCCTGCAGTTATCCTGCAACCAAAGCGGCCAGTCCTACCAACGCATTAGTTTCGCCAAGCCGGCGGGTGTACAAAAGTCTGCACTGCACCTTTTTTTTTTTTTTTTTGAACCTCACCGAGCATCAAATGCGGATAGCACGGTCGGCTCGTTTGGGATCGACTGACCTCCTGATCTCCTCGTCATAGGTCAGCCTTGCGACACTAATGTGAATCTGCGCTGGACCGTTGCCTGAACCCTTGCTTTTCCTTCACACCCTTGTTTACTTACAGAAGCTGCATTGTTTTGTTTCAAGGCAGTACGAAGACCGCTAAAGAATACCGAAAAGTCCTTTGCGCATCAGAAAAATACAAGACTGTTGGCCGGTTTCGCTGAGTTGCATCCAGCATGATCAACAGCTAGCCACGCCGCGGAACTTGAAATCATCGATCATGTCTCCTGCGCCTGTTGAAGGCGCGGGAGCCACGAAAGATGACGTTCAGAAATTCATGACCGAGACCGGGTGCAAGAAGGACAACCGGGCTCGCATGTATTTGCAAGCATGTCCCCCCTCGCCAAATCATGAGACAGAAGCTGACAAGGCAGAAATGTGGGAACAATGTTGAAGCAGCGATTGAGTTGTATAGGAAGCATCACAACCTTTCCAGCTCTAGAAATGTAAACAGAAGCAACCAGGAACAAGTTAGTCTCAAGAATCAATTTCTGATATGGACATAGGACTCTCCAGCCCCAAGCGAGCCAACGCCAGATCTTCCAAGCCGGGGGACCTCTGTACGATCAAGAGCAGCTTCAAGCGTTAGCAGACACTCTGCGACTCCCAAAGATGAACAGCTACCGACACAACACGTCGAGAATGGCAACGCCCAGAAAGCAGTGGGAGCAGATCTCGCCTCAACGCATCCGCCAGCCCCAGCGCATCCATCACCTGCCGCCGCTCTAGCCCACGCAGCAAGGAAGACTCGACTGGAATCTTTAAGTGATATTGGTTCCACCTTCTCAACGACAGAGACTGAATCGTCCATATCAGTTTCTAGTCCTGCGGAGCGCAGTGACGGTGTTTTCGACACGTCAGACTGGGACTTTCAACTTCCAGTCGTCCAGCTTCTCCCTCACATGTCTCCAGGACTCGCCTCCAATTCGCAGTTCTCCACCAGAAGCGTCATCGTCGCGTTGAGGGAAGGTGTCCCGCACGACCAGCTCGAAGATTACTTCGGCCACCACAGCCGGGCAAGCTCCAACATAATCCGGCTCCAAATCAACGACCCCGTCGACGGCTTCCCACCCATCTTCTACGCAACTGCCCGCAACGACGACCGCATCATCCACCTCTTCGCACGCCACGGCGCAGACGTGAACAGCAGCTTCGGCCACCCGCCCATCCCCCTTCTCGCCTTCGCCGTCCTGCACGCCAAAACCATCGCGGCCGAAACCACCCTCTGCGTCGCCACCCTGCTCAGTCTCGGCGCCGAAGCCGCCGCCTTCCCCCGCGCCTTCTTCTCCCCCTTCCAGCGTGACCTGCCCGAGACGGGCCCAGAGGAGGACGAGCTCGACGACATGGACGACCCGCGGCGCGCGTGGTGCCGCGGCCTGGACCTACGCGGCCGCATTGCTGAGACGCTGAACCTGACGCAGCGGTACCACCTGGACAAGTCGGCGCGGCTGGCAAAGCCGACGGATCGGCAGCGGCAGATTGCGCAGCGGAACCACTGCGAGGCGCTGTTTGGGGTGCCGTATTTTATGATTGGGCAGATGGCTGCGACGGACATGCTCAAGGATAACTTTCTGCATTATATGCTGAGGCGGCAGTTCCAGCCAATGGTTATGGTATTTGCTGGTATGTATCTCTTGTTTCTTTCTGCTTTTCGGATCCTTGGTCTGACTTTTGTGCGAAGGGCCGAGTGGGCACGGGAAAACGGAGCTGGCTAGACGGTTGGGCGCCCTGCTTAATCTAGAACTGCACGTTAGCGATTGCACCATCGTTGCGCGGGAGAATGAGTTGTTTGGGCCGCGGAAGCCGTATATCGGTGCGGAAGAGGGCACGCCTCTCAACAACTTCCTGGCGCGGAAGAATGGACAGAGGTGCATCGTCTTCTTGGATGAGTTTGAGAAGACAACTCAGGAAGTGTGGAATGCGCTGCTCATTCCATTCGACAAGGGTAAGGACTCCTGACTATTGTATCTATCTTAGATTGACACAGATTAGGTGAGTATCAAGATCGGCGCACGCTCAAGACGGTCAATTGCTCCAAGACCATTTGGATCATGGCGACGAATGCACTCGACGAGGATATCATGCAGTTCTGCGAGAAGAACGAAGGCGTCTTTGACCAGGACGATCCTTTCAAAAGGGAATTGCTCCTTGATGATCTAACAGAGGCAATGAAGGACAAGTTCAAAGAGCTTTTCAAGGTCAGACAACCACATTCCCCATTGAATCCCCACTGCTAACGATTCATGAATCTGCAGCCCCCGCTTACAGGACGTATCTCGGCATTCATACCGTTTCTGCCCTTCTCACCGCCAGAAACGTACGTAGGCGCCCACAAGTATTTGCTCGAATTGATGGGCGAGGTCCGCCGACCGGTGAACACCTCTTTCGGGGAGGAAGAGCAGCTACTAGGTGACATCAACCTCAAAGTGCGCCAAGACGCGAGCGTGTGCAGCATCCTCTCGCAGGGCTACGACCCGGAGCTTGGCATCCGCAGCTTGAAGAAGGTGGTGCGGGAGAAGGTGGCGACCCAGTTGGATAGCGTGTACATGGCGACGCAGGGGACGATTGTTGAGGGTCAGGGTATGCAGGACTACGAGGTTTATGCGTACAATAACAGGATTAAAATCAAGCCTGTTTGAGAGTTGGGTATATCGTTATGCCGAAAGCTTCAAAGTGTGAGCTTACTTCTATTCGTCGTTCCAAGCCGCTTAGTCAGATTTCCCTTTCTTCTTCGTTAGAAGTCATGGCTCCACCTTCGTCTTGTTCGCGCTGCCGCGAAGCCAAATTGATTTGCGAGGTGTCACTTGATTGCGCGCGTTGTATACGTTGTGTGAAGAATGGCCGGAAGTATTCTCTCGTGCTTACAAGCGCTTATCTCTCTGCTGTGGGACGTTACTCAATATAGAATCTCGGGTCTTTTCTTCTGCGTTTGCAAGAGTAGAAATTTGTTAGCTAAGGTTCATACTGATCGGAGAAAGTAGTTGAGCCTTTCATTTCTTCATCTCATTCTAAATTTTCCGCACTCATAAGGCTAAAAAGCATGACTAGCGATACTCTTGTCTACGCGAGACATTATGATTAGAATGGCGGTTGCACGATAGAAAGATTGAATATTCACAAGAGGCTAGTTCCTTCTATTCTTGAATTAACTCAACCATTTGACTCAGATCAAGCCCGACGACTGCAGTAGACAATCGAGTGGTGGTTGGGGTCTTGTATTAGCTTTTCCCCTTAAAATAAGCAGTAGCCCAAATCTAGGCCACTTTACTAATACAGGGTCTGGAAGCGGATAAGGACAAGCTAATGTTATGATTCTATCACAGATAACAAGAAGTCATCCTCAACCTTAGAACTGCTGTAAGTGGCAAACTGAGGCGTTGTCGCCACGCCGCCTAGTACCTCCGGGCGATGGAGCAATGATCCAAGAATACTAATCAAAGCAGCAGAGGCAGGCGAGTGAGTAGCAGGCGAGATTGAGGAGGCAAATAGTTTACGTTGTCAAGAAAAGTCATGAGCAGGTGACAATCAAAGTAGCTCAACAGCGATGACGCTGGACCTAATCAGATGCGTTGGAACCAACTAGAGAGCGGAGCGTGTATAAGTACTTGCCTTCGCCCTTATTAAGCTATTATCTCTTCATCTTGTATGCTCCTCTTGCTTACCCTATTACCTCCTCTTGCTAACCTTACAACCTCCTTTTACTACAACTCTCTACTGTATCATTCTTCATTCTAAAATGTAAGTGCATTGTAATAAAACTACAGCCATTTCTAGTAGTATATAGAGTAGAGAAGGCCCTATCTAAGACATAGATTAAACGTTAATGCTAACTAGACTCTATATGTTGTTAAGCTGTACAGAACTTTAGCAATAGAATGTTTATTAGTGCTAAAGAGAAGCCACCTATACCAAACAGTATCACTGCTTTAAAAGTGCTTATTAAGTACTAGTTAGCTAATAGTAATAATAATATTGTAGTGTCTTCTATTTAACAATTTAGCGTAAAGAGTTTCTATTTATTTACATTAATAGTGTCTGTACGTAAGTACAGCTGCGTTTGTACGTGTGTACAGCTAAATTAAGTTGCCTAAAACAGTTAGCTATCTAGCCTGTGCGTTAAGAGCTATGTGTACTTAACAACTCTTTTTCTTTTATATAAAAAGAGAGGGTAGTAGTTAATTATTGTTACGGTCTATGGTTGGACCAGTGTAACTCCACCCAAGATGCTCCACAGTACGATGCGGTTGGAGCAGGACTCGTTTACAAGCCAACCGGAGGACACGGAGGCAGCGCAGCTGCCTGCCATTACGGAAGAATGCACTGTCTAATAGGAGGATAGGACGCGAATTCTATAAGTCTATAAGAGCTTAGCAAGCTCTGCTTAGCAGGCTTGTGTAAACTTACCTAGCTCACCTTAGCGCCCTAGCACATGTATATAGTCCCTATATTAAACAACCTTTAGAAGGTGTGTTTAATATTTAGTTTATTTATTACATAGACTAAGTAGCATTTAGCTTTTTAAAGAGCTGTAATACTATTTATATATCTTACACTATATATACCTCTAACTTTGTCCTACAAGGACTGTTTAACTCTAGCCTCCCTACTGCTGCACATAGGGCAAACTATAATCTGGTCACTCTATATCACCCTCTATTAGCCTAATAGCCTGTACGTAGGACTGTACACCCTACTAGATTAGCCCCTTCTACCTGTCCTACTTATCCCCTAGGAATATTACTAGACCTAAGTGCTTTATAAAGTAAGGATTATAATATTAAACACTAACCCCTTTAAAAAGTATAGTAACCTCTTAACATAATTTAGATTCTAACATAGCCCACGCTGTGCTATCTAGATCTACAGAAGTTCCTACCTAAAGTAAAGCTGTTCTTGTAGAACAGATTAACTTAATCTAGGACAACATTAAGAAACTCTAGCAAATTAGTAATAAGGTTAGTAAGTTACTAAAACTTAAATAAAAAATAAATAACCTTTACTAGAAAACTATAAATTTACAAAACCTCCTGCCTTCTATTAACCTCTATAAGGCTACTACCTAAGCCTACTAGATACATAAACTATAAGTAGAACTAGCTAAAGTTTAAAATATCTTAATAAATAAAGTAAGTGTTACTACTAAAAAAGCTTTAAAACTAGCCCTTTTAAAGCCTTTTAAAGAATTACTAAAAGACTTTTAACTATTCTTTACTAGATGCTACCTTTATATATAATACAATAAAGAAGCATTTTAAACTAACACAGAAATAATCTTCTAAATAGGATTACACTTAGAAGGCTCTCTTATAATCTAGTTCTAACTCTACACTAATAATTAGATAGACTTTAGAGCTAATAGCGCACTACTTAACTCTAAAACTAAGAAAGTATTTAGTAGTGTTAAAAACTTTAAAGTAGCCTTATTAGCTATTTATAGGACCCTAGATAAAAAAAGAATTGCAGCTAACTAACTAGACAATATAAGACAGGGTAGCAGGCTAGTCTAAAACTATGCAGCGCGTTTTAGGGAGCAAATAGCTATCTGCGGATAGAACAACTAGAAAGCCCTATGCTGCATGTTTTATAATAGACTAAATAACAAAGTAAAAGATAAGTTTACGCACATAGACTAACTAACTACTTTTAAAGAATATATTAAGAAAGCAACAACCTATAATAATTACTATAAAGAATGTAAAAGAGAAAAGAAATTAAAGAAAACTTTTTAGAAACTAGAGTTTATTCTTAAAAAGAAAAAGCTTTTATAATATAATAAAAAGCTAATAGACCTTAGTTATGTAAAGCATACATAGAGCCCCCTCTCTAAGAAGAGCTAAGTTCTAGGATATAATAGGCTGCCTTTAATAAAGGAATAATAAAAATAGCTAGAGGATAAGGCCTGCCTAAACTATAGAAAAGTAAGACATTTCTGCTAAAATTACCTAAACTCTTAGAAAGGGGAGAATAAAAATACTACTATAATAATAAAAGCTATTACTGCTAAATATAGCCTTATAGATAAAGAAATATAAAAAAAACTAGATAACAGACTTTACTAGTAATATAGAGAAAACTACTTTTTAAACAACTATTTTAAACTATATTAGAAGGTAGTTATTTAAAACTTTAATAGCTTTAATATAGTGTTACAAAACCTTGTAATCTTTAAGAGATATAAAGAAGAGACTTAGATCTAAAGATATATTATAAATGTCTAAAAAGAAGAAAAACAGTTCCCTCTTTAAGACTAAACCCCTAGTACTTTAGTAAAAGAACTTTCCTAATAGTTTTAAAGATGCAGGTGCTAGAAGTGTAGGTTATAACATAACTATCTAAGCAACTATATAGTTTTGCTTTACTAAATAAACATTAGTAATAACTACTTAATGTTTAACATTATATAAAGAATAGCTAAAGTTAAATACAACATTATAAATAAAAAAAAGTAATAGTAATTCTTTACTAAGATTAAAGATTAAAAGCTAAAGCAGCTAGGTAAACCTGCTAGGTTTAAAGTACTGCAACTAGCGCTTAAAAAACCTAAGACACTACTTCTAAGCCTAGTAATCTCTAAGAAGGCTCTTGTAATATAATAGAATTATAAATAATGTGTCCTCTGCAGAAGCAGCACCTATAGCACAAACAGTTGCTAATAGAAAGAACACCCTATATAGCTAGTACAAACAAAAGAATACTTTTAGTAGACCTAAAAAAGCCCCCTTAACATGTTACATAGACCTAATAATTATTTATATTCCTAGTACTAATGCACATAACAGTATTGCATTAAGTATTAGAACAACAAACATTAAGCAGGATAGTAGCCTACATAGAAAAGGAACTATAATAGTTGCCTATAGCAGGGAACAGCCTTAGCCTGTAAAACTATAAATTACTACACTTATTAAACAGCTCCCCCTTACAAACAGAAAGGCTAGATAAAGTGTAATAAATAAGACAACTACAGGTTCTACTATTTTTAGTAGAAGGTAGTAAGAAAAGAAGACTATCTAATGTTACATTACCTAGTTAAAGATTATAAATGCAAAGCAACTAACTACTATAATTAAAAATATTAAATTTATAAAAAAAAAAAGTATAAGTTTAATAATAACTTATAAGATATTAATTTTTATCTTCTTTTAGATAAAAAAGTTAAACATAATATATTAGCAGTAATTACAGTAGGGTAAGGGGCAGGACACAGCCTAACAACTACCTTTACGTATAAAGAATAGCCTAGACTAGCCTTTATAGACAGCAGATGCACCTTTACTGCTATAAATAAGGATTAAGTAGATAAGTAAAGTATACTATTCTACATAAAAAAAACCTATTTAAGGTAACTCTTGCTAACACCTTATTAATTAAGTATAGCAGAGGATAGATTAACTTAGAAACTTATAAAAAGGACTTTAAAACTCTAAATATAAAAGATTAGAAGTTTATAAACATACTTAAGTTAAAAAGTAAATATAATGTAATCTTAAGCTATAACTAGCTTAGAACATATAACTTTATAATTAATTAGAGAACTATAACTATAGAAACTCCTAACAACTACGCACGCATAACCTAGTTAGCATACTATGACAACAGATGCCTAGTCTATAAATAAGCAAAGCAGGGTAGCAGTTACTACTCTAAGAAAAAGAAGCTCTAGAAATTCTCTTACTAAAAGCTAAAAGCCTAAGTAATAAAAATAATAAAAAAAAAACTTAAAGAAGTATCCTATAAAAAAATTAAAAAAGACAAGAATGTAGAATAAATTAGTGTTATATAAATCTAGAAAAAGAGTTGTATCTTACCTAAGTACAAAGACTATAAGGATATATTTAAGACACTAGAAGACCCTAGAGAGCTACTACTATATTAGCCTTAAGATTACACTATTAACCTAATAAAAAATTACAACTTAAAAACGTATAGGCTCTGCCCCTTAACTAGGGCACAGAAGGAGGCTTTACAAGAATATGTTAACAAGATGTTAGTATAAGGCTATATCTAAGAAAGCCACAGCTCTATAGCTTTAGCAGTAGTCTTTGCTAAAAAGAAAGAAGAAAAGATCTAAGTCTATTAAGACTATAGAACCCTAAATAATAACATAATCTAAGATTAATTTCTCTTACTAATTATCTAGGATATTATAAACTAACTAAAAGGAACCTAGTACTTTATAAAGTTTAACGTACAAGATAGATTTAATAAAATAAGGATATAGAAAAGAGATAAGTAGCTTACAGCATTTAGGACCCTATAGGGACTCTATAAATTACTAGTAATGCTATTTAGTCTAATAAACGCCCTAGTAATGTTCTAGTAAATTATTAATACAGCTCTTAACCTCTATTTAGATGTCTTTACCCTAGTATATTTAGATAATGTCCTTATCTACTTAAAGGACACTCTAGAAGACTACGTACAAAAGGTACAAAAGGTCTTAGAACAGCTTAGAAAGTATAGACTTTACCTGCAGCTCTCTAAATATAAGTTCTATGTTACTAAAATAGAATACTTAGAATTTATAATTAATAGCAAAAAAATAAAAATTAACTTAGCTAAAGTATAAAAGGTGCTTAAGTA